AAAGATAAAAATAAAGTTTCATTCGTTCGAGAAAAATGTGCATCTCTCTATTCGAATAATTGAATAAGAAAGTCTGACGAGAACATTTGTGTGTGTGTTTGATTTTTCAAATAAATTCATAGTTAACGCGAGAATAATTTAGTGTTTAATATTAAACGTACCATGATTGGTCATCAAATCTGTTAATATTTTTTTGTTTTTTTATTCTTTTTCTCAAACCGCCTTCCTACCACCCCTTCCGGCCCCTTTCGAAGACAATTATAAATTAATTAAGATTAAAAAGTAACGTATAGTGTCGGACCGAGGAAAACGGGTAATAGAACGTGAGCTCGGAATTGTGTCATAATTTATTATCCTTTGAAAATCACGTGGAGGACAGTTATTATTATTAATTACATTATCGTACGACACACACATAGGAGGGCCCGCTTGATATAATTTTTTTATCGTCTCTTTCTTTTTTTTTTTTTTTTTTTTTTTGTTATATTCTTCCTTTGAAAAATAATCGAAAGACAAGGATCGATATCTAACATCTAACAAGATCCTTTTTCTCTCTCTCTCTCTCTTTCGTTTTCTTCTTTTTATTTTTCGACACACATCCAACAAGAGAACAAATATATATATATATATATGATTTTAANATCGTCAATGGCAGTAATAATCGTCACATTATTGGCAGTATTAATCAATGAATAAAAATAGACAATTTGTTTCTTTTTTTCTCTTTTTTTTTTTTTTTTTTTTTTTTTTTTTCTTAAATTCTTCTTGTATTAAATAATTAAGTAATCGCTTTCTTGTGATTATTTCCTTTTTCTTCTTTTTTCTCTCTCTCTCTCTCTTTCGTTTTCTTCTTTTTATTTTTCGACACACATCCAACAAGAGAACAAATATATATATATATATATGATTTTAATAGAAAATACAAATTATTTCTCTAAAACGATTACTTTAAAATAAGTATCGTAATTATTTAAATCGAGCCGCGGTGTATTTTTACTGTTCTTTTTGTTGTTTCTTTATTTCCCACATTTTCATTTTATTTTATTTTATTTTATTTTCCCATTTTTTTTAATATAGTATTTTTTTAAATTGTAATTTACACGTTCCGACCAACCTCGACGATTATTTTTATTATTTCGAAAAGGATATGATTAGAGAAAAAGAGAGAGAGAGAGTGACAGACAGACAGACAGACAGAAAGGGAAAAAAAGGGAAAAAAGGGACACGTTGAGAGAGATGGTCGAGGTCGTTGATACACGGTCGCTGGACAGAAAGTTATTTTTTTTTTGTTATAATATACAGGAATATTTACAGATGCTCATTAACGTATTAACGTTTTTCTTAATTACAATAGAAACTATTCACTTACGACATAGGTATCTTTATTTTCTTCTCTTTTACACCCATACGTTCACGTACATTCTATCTTTCTCTCTCTCTCTCTCTCTCTCTCACACACACACACACACATACATACATTTCAATAATTTCAATTTCAATTGTTCATATCTCACATAGCGCGTTATCGCTAATATTATCTATTAATCTATCTAACTTCCTATACTATACTTATACCCTCGTAAGGGTCTTAATCGACCTAACAGATAAAATTGTTGTCCACGCAATATACGTACTCGCACACGCACATACACACATATGCTTTCTCACACATTATTCGTCGATTACACATTCTTTTTTTAATTCGTACAAAAAGGGAGAAGAAAGAAACCTGTGTGTATGTGTCTGTGTGTGATTATTAAACGCGAAGCATCATCATTCATGGTGGTACACACTAGCAACACATTAATTTAACAAAAAGGAACAACTTTATAGGATATAAAACAAGGATTAAATAATATAATACTCTCTAATAATAATTAAAATTATTATAAATATACGAAGAAGAAGAATATCGATGGGAAAGAGCTTTTGTTGTATCATTTAAGTAATAAATGCATTAACCAACTATAAAAATAAGACAGACAAAAATAATATAAGGAAAATATTCAAATGAAATGAAAATATGAAAAACAAGCTATCGAGATAGATCTAATCAATTATTATAAATCAATAGAATCTTATATAATTCTCATCGAGGAGGTTACGTGTATGTACCACACTCACGTGTATGTTTCTCGTTGAATGTTATATATCAGGCACTCCGTTTCGAGGAGGTCAACCTCGATACACGATATTAATTACTCGTAAGACAATTTTTCTAACCTCGTCGAACGATGATATATTTATTTATTTTTTTTTTCTTTGTTAAATTAATAAAAGAATCTTTTTGGTACAATTTTTACTCGATAACTCGTCGTTCTTATATGCGACAAAGACACATGCATCTTTTCTTCTTCTTCTTCTTCATCATAATCATCATCATTTTCGTCTTATTTAATTGTAAATTTGATCATTGCTTTTATTTATCCTTGAAAATAGGAGATTAGAAGAAGAATGAGGAAAAGAACAAAATAAAGAAAGATAGAAAAGGAAAGTAAGAAAAAGTGAGAAATAAAAAGAAGAATAAAAGTTGGCAGTAATCGTCAATGGCAGTAATAATCGTCACATTATTGGCAGTATTAATCAATGAATAAAAATAGACAATTTGTTTCTTTTTTTCTCTTTTTTTTTTTATAGAAGAATATATGCTTGCTGTTGCTGCTGCTGCTGCTGCTGCTACGTTAATAATCGTGTATCAAATACAACACATAAGAATTATAATTCACGATAGAGAAATAAAGATAGACGGACAGACAAATAGTTAAATAGATAGATAGATAGATAGATAAAAATAGGATAGAGAAAACAAATTCTTATGCACACGTGTGTCAAACTTATACGACGATTGAACTTAGGATTTTTAAATGTTTTTAAATGTGTTATAAGAATGAATTACTTTTTTAATATTTCTTTTTTCTGTTGTATTTTTTTTTTGTTTTCTATTAAGTGTGCCACATACACGTGTATGCATGTTAAATACGTGAGATAATAATATGTTAGTTCACAGACAATGTAATCATATTAAAATTATACGTAAAATTAGAAATATACGAATGAATATGTCGGAAAAGGCACGGAAATGCATTATGTTCGTCCGTCATTACAAGAATTAATATACGAATTGGAATATTTATATATACATGGTGTGTATGTAACATCAAACGATACTAAGCGATTGTCATAATAATTGTTAATAGTATTTGAGAGAATATCTTTTTCTATTTATTTTATATTATTTTTTTAATCAAATTTCAAAACAAAATAATATTATCGCGTGTCGGATAATGAGATTGATATTATTTTCTATTTTCTAAGACGTTTGATCATAGATCGATTTTAACACACATGGAACACCTAATATACATATATATATATACACGAAAATACGGTATAACGAATCTTGTTGACCGATGAGTAATTTTAATGAATACTTTTGAGATACTTCGAAAAAGGCACAAAATTCGTGTGAATAGATGTTACCCAATTATATATATAGTATTTTAGCGTTAGTTAACAATTAAAAGAACTATATAGCTTTGATAATTGAACGAAGAAAATGTTAATAAAAAAGGATTGAAATATTTATGATGGAAAAAACATGAATCGTATATAGAGAAGAAGAAAGAGGTAAAAAATAAAATTATGTAAGTATATATACAAAGAAATAATAAAAATAAAGATAGGTGGGATAGGGCACGGTGCTGGGGGGAAGGGCAGGAGGAAATAAAATTGAAATAGAGTCGAGAATAAAAACCAAAAAAAAAGGAAAAATGAAAGAAGTGGAATGAAGGAACGAAAGAAGAAGAAGAAGAAGAAAAAGTAGTAGGAGTAGTAGTAGTAACGGTGTGTTCCTACTAATAATTAAAATTCTATTTTCCATTTCTTTTTATCTTAGATGACACTGACGAGTCGTAGCGAGTCAGACACGACACGACGAGCGTCTTAATTAGTGCAGGGCAATTAAAAAAAAAAAAAATAGTAGCCTGACAGATTATTGCGACATGCGGTTTCTAATCAAGACGACAACAACAACAACAACAACAACAACGTTCGGATACATTTTGCGAAAATTATTTTTCGTAAAAGTTGCGTTGCGAAAAGTTTTTTACTCGATTGATGTGAAATAATTTGGAAAATAATAATAATAAAAAAATATAACTTGTAAGAGAAGGAAACGTGACGATATAATATATAGGTCTCTCGCGGTAGAATTTAAATTATTTATTTATTTACACGTACGCGCGTTATAATATCTCGGTTAAAATCGATTAATTATTTCAATCGAATTTAGGTAAGGATCAAAAATTATATAAGAAAGTACACAGGTTTTTGTTGAGATTTTCTTAACGACTAAAACGCAAAGGTGGAACGTTCCCGTCGTGTTTTTTTTCCTTTTCTTTTCTTTTTTTTTTTCGATTATAAATCAAGGAGAAGAAGGGTGAAAAGTAGGAGGTTGGAAAAACATTTCTATCGATTGAACTTCGATGGGGGATTATTACATAATGTCGATAAAATCTTACGAACAAGAAACGATCCCGCGAGAACACGTTCGCGTATTAAAAAAATGATTAAGGAATTATTATTATTATTATTATTATTATTATTATTACGAGGATAATAAAAATTGAGGTTATTATATAATCCGAGGTTCCCGTCAATAAAAGCTCGTGACGGAACCACTTTCGTGGTTCTTTTGTCGCTATATAGGGGATCATATAATTAACGAGAAGTTTTGTTAAATAAATCGATTCTATGAGATTCCGATGGTCGTGTGTGTGGTTTTCTATTAATTCACTTTTATCTTGAACAAGAGATACGGACGACAGCTAATAATATATACGAGTTAACGAGCATATTTTTTGTTTTGTTCATTTAACTTCTATCGAAAGAAAAAAAAAAAAAAAAGAAAACCGTATTTTATTAACTTATTCATATATTTAATTATTTATTTTATTATTTATTCATTTAATATAATTTAATTTAATTTTTTCTTACTACCTTTTTCTTTCTCCTCTCCTATTTTTTCTTTTTTCTCTTTTTTACTTGTCCTCTTTTCATCATAATTCATTTTAACGATCTCGAAAATGAACTTGAGCGTTATCGTAATCGCGGCGTAATTTATTATTTTTTCTTTTTTTTTTTCTTTTTTTTTATTAATTTCTTGATTAGAAAATCGATTTTTCTTCGATGGTACGGAGAAATATATTTGTAACTATGGTCCGTCCGGTTTTAAACACGTAACACTCTTCCCGTTTCTTAAGAGATAAATTGTAAATTACACAATCGTATTTACAAATGTGATATACATATTACAATTAATTTTTAACTATTATAAAACTTTTCTCTCGTCTCTTTTCTTGTGTTTCATTTATTTATTTCTTTTTTTATTTTTTATTTTATTTTTCTTATCTCATCGCGGCAACGTTAAGCTGCGTAACGTTTATAAATGAGAAAACAATGGTGTCTCACGTCAGTTTAAACAAAACCGCTGTAAATCTCGTCGAAAGTAACTCGAGCATAATCTATTATAATATATTAATCCATTCCCATTTTTATATTCTTGGACCATGCATTTTTTTTTCTCGCATCCGGTATTATTTATTCCTTGTGTTGTAATTATTAGAAAGTTTCAGCAAGAGAATGGATTTTAATTCGATAATTTTCGTGACGATAATATATATATATATATATATATAAATATGTGCATGTAGTAGTGGTATTTATGTACGTGTGATATCTTATTACTCGAACATTTTAGGATTCCTTTTTTCAGTAAACTCTTTTTCTTTCTCTCTCTTTCTTTCGTGATAGGATATATCATTTTAAAACGCATTCCTATAAATCGAGTTCCATCAAATGTACAGAAGTACAGTTGTATTGCGTGTTACTCGAGGAAGAAGAAGAAGAAGAAGAAGAAGAAGAAGGTGAAACGACTTTATCGATTTTTCCATCTTTTCGTTTCGATACTCAAGGGATATACGCATTGATACATTTTCTTCTCTTCGTGCTTCCTATTCAAACGATTTTTCCTCAACGCTTCTCATCGCATAAGCTTCGTTCTTTCGTGGTTGATAAAAAAAAAAAGAAAAAGAAAAGAAAAATAAAAGAACCCAGAAGGAAAAAGATGAATACTAGATAGGAAAAAAGGGAATAGGAAAAAATATGGAAATTGTGTGTAACGTGGAGAAAATCCTTCTTCAAAATTTCGAGATACACTGACGACGAGGACGTGTTTACAGCGGTTTGTCATATCAGCCTAATATGTACGTTTCGTTTTATCTTTTTAACGTACACCTTGTATATATGTATGTATGTATGTATTAATGTACGTCGTATGGGGGATGTGACTTGTTTGTATCGTGTGGTGGTTTGGTATGCTGAAGAATATGGGAAATTTATTCTGACAGTCGGTGGCAATTTAGAAGCAATAATTTCTCATGCTAACTTCCGGCACGGGACTCAAGGATGGGGGTCGTCCCTCGCGAGGGACAACCCCTTCCTCGTGTCAGCCGTAGTAATAGCTTTTGGTGTTGAGGCTTCGAGGATTTTCCGTGCGTAAAATCGTATGAAGACTGTCCGTGCCAACCATGTGGTTACCCAGATCGACCCTGACACCCGTCGTCGTCGTGCTCGTTGCATGATGAATTGGCGCCGTGTGAATGCTGTTAGGCGACAACGGTATCCTAGTATCTGTGTAATATCGTTCGCTACCGTGTAGTCTCTCGGCCAGTTGAGTCTCCGGTATTCTGAAAACAAAAGTATAGACCAATTATTTCTAATTACACCTGACCGACCGTGTCTCTCGTGGTGCCCTTATTTCTTTCATTCTCTTTTTATTTTTATTTTTATTACACGACACCCGTGAAAATATGTGCCTGCCCCAAGTGTTCGGTGTTTAATTATACGATTTTTAAAACATAGAAACGATCGAATTAGAAAGTTTAACACTTGTTAGTAATATTTATATCTATATATTATAATATTGTACGTGATAAAAAGTCTGTTACGATGAAATGAAAAATTCGCGACAACGTATATCCTCCATTCGGCGAACTAGAAACAACAATTAACAACAACGTAAGGGAAAATTTTCTAACTAAGCAGAACATTTCTGCAATCTCATCGTTCCATTCGAAATATGAGCTCCCTATCTCAAGCGTTTCCCCATTCCATTTAAACGGGTTAAAATTAATTTACCTGGTGTCCTGCATCGGGACCGGAACTGGCGTTGTGAGATCGATGTTCGCGTCAACCTCGGAGATGTTGTCCGTAAATGCATTTGGTAGTGCTTCGTTATTTGCGTGGAATTTTGCATCTCGTTTAGCACGATGACGACTCAATAGAAGTTTGCCAATCACCAAGCCCAAAAATACGAGAACACCACCGGAGACGGACACGATGATGTAGAGGTAAAATTTTTCTTGATTGTCTGCACACGGAAGAACATGGAAACAAAAAGAAACAGAAAAAAAAAAAAAAGACAAATCGTTTAATCATTCGAATACATTTTTTGCATCTTTTTGTTTTATTTTTTTTTTGTAGAAATACGTACGACAGGGGAAGGGTTGGGCTGGGTCTTCCGCGACTAAAAGAATAATACGTTCGTTCATGCAATTCAACTAGAATATTTTTCATGCTCATTTATCGATCAAACTAACAATCCGTGTTTGGAGAGCCATGGACCTGCGCCACGGTTTATTCACCAGCCATCAAAATTTTACCGATTGATCAGGCCAAAGAAAATTTACCTTTTCAAGAAAACTTACGAAACGAAACACCGAGCGATCATGCCAGAACTACGATTTACTGCCTAAAAAAAAAACAAGAAAAAATAAAAAAAAAAAAAAAAAGGAAAACTGCAAATGCCTAGCAGGATGTTGCATTCTAATCAAACATAACGTTGTTTAATATGAACGTGTTAATTAATTGTGACTACTATTTGTTCTTGTACTTTTTTCTTTTCTCTTTTTTTTTTTTTTTTTTTTTTTTTTTTTTTTTTTTTTTTTTTTTTTTTTTTTTTTTTTTTTTTTTTTTTTGGATCAATTCACTTTATTGTCTTAAATTATTTCGATTATTTTCTTATACGTAATGTGTGTGTATCATACGTCGATAAGTTTACCGACTAAGTTGTTTCTTCGTTTTATCTTGTGAGTATTTTTCTGTAAGAATCTTCCTTACCGACACTCGCCAGAAAAAGTAGTTCGCGTTGCTTACCGACCAAGCAACAGTCGAAGAACGGAAAAATTACTAATGTACTTACTTGATATGAATGAGTAGGCATTGATCCATTCATTGAGATATCCGACAACCATACGATCTTCGTCGGGAACTGCGTAGACGACCGTCGTGCAGTTAGACGGTGATACCGTCGTAGGTAGGGCACTACTATTACCACCCTTGTTGTTGCCAATTATCATTCCCGTGGTTACCACGGCCGATAAGGATATGTCTTTTTCTTTGGTAATTTTCCCTTCTTTACCAACCGAGCCTAATTTGTTCAACGCGTTGTCCACTGTAGTGGCCGAGAAATAAGTGATTATAAAAGGAAAGAAAAATAAAAAAGAGAGAAAAAGAGAAAGAAGTAGGGTGACAGAGAAAAAAAAAAGGGGAAGAAAAACGTAGATCTTTAATACAATGATAGTAAAATAAAAAAAAAACAAAAAGGTTTTAATATAAAATGAAACGAGAGAAAATATATAATAATTGACCATCGTTGGTATAGAAATTTGTTCAATGATACACAAATTATCTTGCCGGAAGAAATGAATTATTTACAGAGGAAGCATAAATGCATTTTGCAGAAGGGTGCATCCGCCACCATTTCCTTTCCATAGCGCATTGATCAATTTTCAAACTATGTTATGACGTTTACAAGAAAGATTTTAGGCTTTTTAATTGATGATAATATGAATTAGATATCGTTTGAGTGAATTTTGTATGAATGATTTTAACAAATGAAAAAAAAAAAATCATGGGTTAACAGAGCATAGAAATTATTTGCAAATTTGAAGTATGTAGAAAAAAAAAAAAAAAAGAAAATTAAAATGATCGACACTTAAAACGCGGACATAATTGTGCCATAGAAACGAGACGATCAGAGTAAAGTTTATACAAAATGGGATTTTGATGCGTTAGGAAGGAAAAAAAGAGAGGTGCAATTGTCGGGATAATATCGAGAATTTTTTCGCAACTAAAACGTTCCTTAGGGGATAAAATGAAGACACATAAAAGGAAGGATAAGCTTTCCTTTTCTAAAGACTTTTACATGACGTTTTACATACGAAGAATATCCCCAACGTAATCTTTTGTCAAGTATAAGGTAACGTGTTTAAAGTGAATGTGAATGTGTAATTAGAAATGCAAATTTTCTTGTGCCACATAGAAAAGGCGAGTGTCGAGTATTTCGTTCGCAATTTCAGAGAAACTTTCGAGCTTTTGCGCTTTTCTGCATATACGTGTATATATAATATGCATATATACTTTTATATATATATATATATATATAATATGTATATATTACGGTGAACCGTATATAATACATAAATATAGATAGGTTTAATTCATTGTAAAATTTTCCTTACTAAATAATATTACCATCGTTGAGAATTAAGTGACACGTATCGAATAATTCCATTATATAATACAATTAACATTCCCCTAACGTGTCACAGTTAAATTACCTTAAAATCACGAATAATGCGCGTGCGCATGCCAAAAATTTCTCCCCGTTGCTGGCATCGCATAACGTTGAAAGAGAGAGAGTAAGGTATAGTAGTAGGTACTTACATACATACATACACGATGCATTTATCCAATACGCTTGTTTTGCAATCAGCATGCACTAGACAATGAAACGAAAAAATTATTTACAAAAAGAAATGTATTCTTTCCTTACGACACGTAACGTTATCAAAATGAAAATATTTCATACGAAATTTTGTGATTTATTCAACGCGATATTAAATGAAAAAAAAAAAAAAGAAATTTGCGTTGAGAATATATATTTTCGAGCTCGTTAAAATAAAATTTGCATAAACGCGTATAATTATTTATTTCCTTGAAAATTGTTCGCTTTAACAAATTCTCTTGACGAGGGTGAAAAAAAAAAAAAGAAAAAAAAAGAAAACGGAAACTTATCTTGTCGGGTCCAAAGGGGATTTTGATTTATTTTCTCGGGTGTTGGGTGGGGTATGGGTGAAAAGAAATGAAAAGAAAATAAAAAGAAAAGAAAAATGAAGAAAATAGTAAAGGCAAAAAAGGGTATATGTATACACACACATATATATATATATATATATACCCTTTTTTCCTTTCCACCTTTTCTCCAGTGGTTCAACTTCCAGAAAATCGGCTAAAAAGTGGAATAGTAGTAGTAGTAGTAGTAGTAGTAGTACAACCAGGTTTAAAACCCGTTGCTCGTCTCGACGAAAAATTCAAATGCACTTTCGGCCGATTGCTAGCAACGAAATCGATGCTTTCTCAAGCCCGGGGAAAAAGGATATGCGGGAGGAATAGGGAGAGTGGGGTGGGGTGGGGGCTGGGAAGAAACTAGGACCTCAAAGGACGCATATATCGTCTCTTTTCATAGTGCTCTTGACTTTTGTAGGAGGAAAACGATTACCTTTCGCCTCGGAACGTCGTAAAATTTATCGAGGATCGTTGGTAGGCGACAACCGAACGAGAATACTGGATTCCTCCCTCTCTTGCGAGATTTAAAAACATTCCCTTCTCCTCTAGCTGTTGGCTTTTTCGATCGACATCAGGATACTTTTTCTACGAAAAATCTTATCAAAGAGAACACGCTCGGACGGGGTAAGGGGGAGGGTTAGGAGTTAAGGGAAAGGGGAGAAGAAGGTACTTTATACTCTTTCCGTTCGTAGATTTCAAAGTATAAAACGTGGTGTTGGTAGTAGCGTAAGAGGAAGATAGAAATGGAAAGGGCAAAAAAGAAAAAATAGAGAGAGAGAGAGAGAATAGGAAAAAGAAAGAAAAAAAAATAGAAAAGTAAAATGGTTTTAGGTTTTATATGAAAACGATTCGATTCGATTAAATCAGCTTTATCTAATCAGCTACGAGCAAGTGATTATAAATGACGCAGGAAATTTTCTCGTATTCCTCTTGTCTTTTTTTAACTTTTCTTTTTTCCCTTTCTCATCTTCCATTCTTATAATTTCGCGGAAGAAAATATTGGAAAAGTTTTCTCCTACAAGAGAAGAGAATAAAAAAAAAAAGAAAGAGAGAGAGAGTCAGGGAGGGGGGAGGAAAGAAATCGGGGATCGAAGTTCCTAGAGGGATAGTTACTAGGAAAAGGGAGAGAGAGAGAGAGAGAAAGGTCACAAAAGCAATGAACGATAACGTGAAGTTTCTCGAGGAACATTGCTGCTGGTCTCCGTTGGTAACTTTCCTCCCCTCCCCCCTTACCTTACCCCCTTCTCTTTCTTTTTCTTTCATTCCCTAGCCAGCCTTTAATTAGCGTTATGACGCTAAATTCTCCGGCCCGATAAAGTTAAAGCTCGATCAAGTGAAACGAGTCGAGCATTTCCGCGACGAGCTGGCTGCTGCTGCTGCTGCTGCTGGGACCACGCGAAATCGTCTGTGAAAAGCTTCAACGAATATTCCTTATTCTTAATTCCCTTCTAGTTAAGTATACACGCAATTATCTATCTATCTATTTTCATCTATCTAGATATATTATATTTTTGTATCAACTTTCTTCTACCTCTCTGACCTATATATAAATAATTCATTTTTAACTTCATATATTTATATATCGTTTGAAATATCATTAACAAAGTAAAAAAAAGAAATTAAAAAAAAAGAAAATAGTTGGATTAAACACATTTGGGAGATATATATTTTCACATTGCGTATGGTAAAACGAATATTCTTTTGGAACAACTTAATAGAAAATTCTGTTTCCATATTAAAATATTGATATCAAAGAGTTTTAAGGGGGTGAGTAAGAGAGGTTTGCTTCTCTATCACGCATCCTCGTGGTTCGAGGTTTCAAACCGCTACGATAATTCGGGATTCTAATTAAAAGCGTATATATTAGTAGTAGTAGTAGTAGTAATAGTAGTAGTAGAAGCGTGCAACTTCGAGTAAGGATAATGATGTAATAGATTGCAACTGTAAGTGTAAACCCATACGTAGATAGATAAATAGATAGATAGATAATAATGGAGAGAAAGCAGGAACCGAAAGATATTACAAACGATATTCTACTAATTATATGTAGAATATATTTTACGAATGAATGATAATGCAAATCTATATTATTTCCCTTCTCTAATGAAATAGTTCAATTTATAATGTAAAAAAGGTTTTATTCGTTGAATTTTTTGTTTGTTTGTCCTCGTAATCGAATCGAATCGTAATCTCATTTAATAAAGAGAATTCATTATGATAGAAATCTAAGGAACGTATTATAGAATTCATCCGAAAGAATATGACAATTTTGTCAGTTCGACTCTATTCGAAATTGGCGCCAAACGTTTTGTTAGGTTGCTGGCTGGTTTGGCACCGAAACCAATATCAAGCGTGTTCTTCTAGAAACCTTATCCAATTTTACAAGACGACCCGACCCCTTTTGCCTCTTTTCCTCTCACTACCCCTCCTGCCACCACTTTCTCTCTCTCTCTCTTTTTTCGTTCCTTTTCTTTTTTTTGTTCTCCAATCCTGTTTTTCTTCGTCCAATTTATATCGACGAGAAGACGAAAAAAAAAAAATAAAACTGAAAGAAAGAAAGAGTCGTTGGATTCTTTATATATATATATGTGTGTGTGTGTGCCAATTTTTCGTAACCCTCTTCCTCCCTTTTCTTTTTCTTTTTCCTTTTTTTTTTTTTTATTTGTTTGATTGCATTTACACACGTGATCGGAGTTTCTCCCGTTCGTCGAAAATTCGAAGAGACGCGTTGAAAAAAGGGGTGGGTGGAAAAAGAAAAGAAAAGAAAAGATAAAAGATAAAAGATAAAAGAAAGAAAGAAAGAAAAAATAGTATAGATATTCAGCATATGAAAAGAAAACTATAATCCCGTTTTTCTCATATATTTCGTTTCCACGTTTCTTATTCGAATATATTTTTCTCTTTCCGTGCACTTTTTATCCAATAGGCTTCTTCTAAAACGTTTCATCAATCGAATTCAAAGTAAAAAAACGTTTACCGATTACGAGAAATAAATACTATTGTTCGTTTCCCTAATGCAACTTAGTAAAAAATACCATTATTAATGTATTTTAGATGTATATATATATATTCCTAACTAACAAACTGCTAGAATTTCAATGGGGAAAACTTTAAAGAGGTAGAACGCGTAAAACACCGACAACATTTTACGATGCTCGATTACTCTTGGATTTTAAGACCGCCCACCAACAGACTGCATCGTAATTCTTTGAATTTTGCCCCTCCCTTTTTTTTCTCTTCTTTTTCTTTTTTTTTTTTTTTTTTTTTTTNACTTTAAAGAGGTAGAACGCGTAAAACACCGACAACATTTTACGATGCTCGATTACTCTTGGATTTTAAGACCGCCCACCAACAGACTGCATCGTTTTCCTTTGATTTTTTCCGCTCCCTTTTTTTTTTCTTTTTTTTTTTTTTTTTTTTTTTTTTTTATTTTCAAAGAAGAACTATCGTTTCACTTTAATTAGACTTATTGTTAGTCGACTTAATAATCGATTAACTCGAATGTTAATCTTGAATCAAAATAATAACGTCGAGTTACACTTTAGCAAACAATTTAAACAAAATTATTATTCATTAATATCCCCATTTAAAATCTGCAAAATTAATTATAATCTAATCCTTGTGATACGAATGTAATAAAATACACTATATAGGAACAAAAATTAAGCACACATATATATATATATATATCTAATCGTAAGAAATTTATTTCCTAAAGAAACTTCGATACGAATTCTCTCGAAGTCGTGTGTTAACACTTATACCAATCCTCTTCCCCCTTCCTCCTATTCCACCCCTTTTAGAAGTTTCTCGTAGCACGAGGCGACAAAGGAGGTATACGTTTTCGTATAAACCCCTACAAACGTACGTACGTCTTATTATGCACAGAGGCCTGCGATAAACTCATTAAAAGCAGCAGAAATACGCGTAACCGGAAACAACTAATACTAGCACACATAGAACCGCGGAAATTCGAATTGTGGAAACTCAGTCGTCCGATTCTCTTATAGCATTTCCTCCTTTTCCTTCTCTCTTTCTGTCTTTCTCACTCCTTCTATCCTAAGGATGGTAGAGAAACAGAGGAAAGCTTCTGTATTTCTGTTTCAGTGTGCTTGATTTACCTCAAAGAACGGAACACACCTCCTGTGTGAAACTTCGAGTTTCTCAAAAGACGACGACGACGACGACGACGACGAATGGTATAATCATTCCTGTTTTAAGAAAGTATTTACTTCAAATTATATTCACCTTTATAATAATCAATTTCGTTCTATTATCTTCGTGTATATACAATTTATTCTCAAGAAACATCCTTTTTAATTAAGACAAATGAGAAAAGAAGTAACTAGAATTTGTATATAATACAATCTATTAACATGTTTTACGTATTTCCTAAAGCATTTTATAAAACGTTTTATGTTTATTCAAGTATTGTACATGCATAGTATTTACAAATTGAGATCAATTAAGAAACCCATTTCAATAATTATAATCATTCGTTTGTATTTTTTTATTTTACTTATTAGATTCTTACGGGGGATTTATTTAATATAAGAAAATAATATTAATAATAATAAAGTAATAACACGACAATGCGAGGATGATCAAACTTGTAAGTAATAATACGTTTGATTGATTAATTAATTAATCAAAATGTCATAGCAATTAATAATGATTCGTGCAAGAATTCATCAACATTGGTAATTAATAATAGCGATGCAACAAAAATATATTTCTAAAGTAAATTATTAGCATGCATTTGGCACGAGGTCAAAGGATAAGCAAATGAGTAATATAACATTAGCAACACCATAAACCCACATAACATAATAATATTAATAGGCTCGATAGGAAAGGGGAAATAATAGAAATAAAAAGAAAGATATAAAGAAAGGGATAGAGCAAAGAAAAAAGAAAAGAAAATAAAGGAAAGGTAAAATGAAAAATGAAAAACAAATAGAAGAAAAGAAGCTTACCGTCGTTGTTGGTCCTAGCACGTGGTGGCGATGAACTGACCGTCGGGAAATTGTTTCGCGAAACGTTGTCCCTTGGCTGAGGTTGTGGCCCTTCGAGATTTGGACTTGGACTGAATTCCGCTCTGAAATCGACCCTGTCGAAACCTTCGTCATTTTTATGCGTCAAATTCATCTCGTCCGATTCTAAATCACTTTGATACTGTTCCCTCAAGATCCAACGTTGTACTTGAAATTAACAAAACAATATATATATATATATATATAATTAGGTTGTCCATTGTTTGCAGTATATATCATTAAAATGATTTCAATTTACAATTGGATAGAAGAATACAACGTGTTCGAGTATTCGAAAATAACATTCGTGTTAGTCAGATAATACGTTTTATATACTTCTCTCTATTTCTTTCTTGTTTTATTTTTTTCGTTCCTTTTTTTTTTTTTTTTTCCCAAACTCTACTTTCATTTCGTCTATCGCGTTTCGCGCGTAACGAGAGAACGACGGTTCTATTTTAGAAATAGAATTTTTATGGAAAAATCCTAAAACAACAACGACAAACATACATATATACATGTATACATATATATATATATATATTCACAAACTAAGAGGGGTAAGGGAGAAATAGAAAATGTCAGGATGGTAGGCTAAAAAGGCAACGGAGATACAATTCAATTTCTTTCACGGTATAAGTGAGGTCGACAAAATTTACGAACGAGAGAGAGAGAGAGTGTTTTGGTAGAAATTTTCGTGAAAGCAAAGTGTCGCTTGTCGTCGGTGGCTTGACGCAATACACACCACCACCACCACCCAGAATCATTTTCCTTCCCTACGAAGGGGTATAATATTTCCCCGTAAGCAAACCACAGATAGGAATTTCAAATAGCTAGATATCGTTTTCAAAGGAAACATTATATCCCATGCGTGACAGGTGAACCATAGAGTCTACCTATTAACGCTTATTATTGTTATTATTAATTAACATTTCGGTTGTGCCTTCGAGGTATGATGCCTAGACTGGTTAATAGATACCTGAAGTCTCATCCTCCTCCTCCTCCTCTTCCTCCTCCTCCTTTTCCCACCCTCAACCTCATAGCTTTGGTTTGTTGTATATCCATACTCGCTGCTTCTAATCCGACGTGTTGCTGCTTGATGTGTTATAACTCATGTTCCTGAATAACGCGATGTAGGCAATAGTGTTTCTCTCTATCTCTATATATATTTCTATCTCTGTCTATCTATGTATCTTCTCTAGGGATTGTACGGTTTATGTCTACGTGTTTATACGTATGCAATAGAACGAACAAACGTATGCGTACAAACAAACATACCATATATGTCTAGGCTTAAGAGTTATTCTTATGAATCGCTTTACGAAATTGAAAATTGGCTACTAGGGCCTGCGTAAGCTTTATTCTATGTCTATCTCTTTGATTTTGTGCGTATATTGATACGTCATAAACTAGACTACTATTTTCTATCCTCCTTCTGTGAATAGATAATTCCACGTATGAATATAGGAGATGATGGTAATGATATGCGTTTGTACGAATACGAAGATATATTCATTTGATATTCATTACGATGTACTTATATATATATATATATATGTATTTTATAGTGTTGTAATTGACATGTGTTAAATACATATACGTCAATTAGTATAAAATGGTTGTCGATAATAGAAAATCGTATTTTGTATGTTGTTCGAATAGTAAATTTATATTGAAATCATTTCTATGTATCTATCCTATCTATTTATCTTTGTCTTTATCTCTCTTTTTGTCTTTCTATGGATTATAGTAGATAGCATTTGCGATATTACGCGGGTAATGCTCATTGAAACAAATTTACTACCTACTTAGTCAAGGTATTTCTGTTATAGCGTAATATCATGGGAGTACTCTGCAAAATGTAATTCCTGCATTACACTCGGTCGCGATTCGATAATTTTATTAAAAAGGATTTCCTTTGGAAATCTATTGTCAAGCATTTTTTGTTTGGGGAAGGGGATTTATTATGAGGTTGACTCATCTTTTCTTTTCGGTTTAATATTATGAAAAATGTTTTAACTAATGTACTGTTTCTCTTTCTTTTTTTTCTTTTTTTTATTTTTACAGCTTTTACTATTGGAATTTAAATATTACGCGTATATATGAGAAAAGAATATTTTGACGAGAACTGATTAACTAACTTGACTGACATATTAATTTACAACGATTAACTGTGATTTTCAACGTTCTCGAATGATCTTATAATTAAAATGGAATTCGATTGGATATCGGACAATAGTTCAACGATTTTCGAAATGCAATTATGAGAATAATATAGGAGTATCATTTAGATGATACATATATATATCTAAGAAAATCGTGTCAAATAATTACTCACACTTAACCCTTTGAGTACTGAATACTTTTAATTGAAGAGTTTTTTCTCTACGAATGAAATAGTTTATTATTAATGTAACCAGATTTAAATATTAATCAATTATATTTAATAATTACAATTTTACATACAACAAAAATATTACATTATTTTACATTCACATTGATAAACACACGCGTGCATTAACTTTTACCAAACGCATATATGCGTCCATAGTACTCAAAGGGTTAATAATATATATATTTACATATATATTGTCCAGTGTATTACCAATAGAAGTTTGTCGTTTAAAACTTAATTAGGTCAAATCTAATAGAAACAAGACGAAGTGTATAACAACAACCACAACTCTCAACCACATCTTGTCATCTCAGTTACGAATATTGTCTCCTATAGTTTCGAGTATTGGGGGTGGTGGTGGGTGGTGGGTTGGGGAAGCTACTGGAGTTAGGAGGTGGTACTATTACGGTCATCGACGTTAATTATGAGAACGTACGATTTATAACTGGCACGTGTGGCTTTCAACCCTTCGATCCTTATCCGTTAGACTCGTGAACCCCCTCCTTCCTACCCCATATTAACGGATTCCCACAGAACTGGTGGTGGTGGTGGTATCGCAAAATGCGTTTCTACCGTCCGTTCCATAAACTGGTGCTGATCGTTCTGCCGATCCGGTACGATCCGATAAGAAAGTGAGCTAGCTCGCGTAGTGCTGAGACCGTATGTGTTGTTCGTTATCGTATATTCACGGCATAATTACTACGATAGGATCGATATATATATACAATGAACGCCTATAATCTTCAAACTTTGTTCGGAATTAATAGGCTCTTCTATGCGTTATCAACGAATAGAGAAAAAAAAAAAAGAGAAAACTTACTATTACTGCAACCATGTTATATATTTTACTTAGAAAAAATAAAGAAAAGATAGATATAACTGTTAGCTGTATAACAGGCAATAAAATAACAACGTCCAACTTTTACAGAATGTCTTATAATATAAGCCATGTATGGTAACCCATTTAAACTTGACTATTCTGGCATACCCATAAGTGAAATGAAATGAAATGAAATGAAATGTTTCCTATGAGCCAAAACGATGAAGAACTTATAATTTCGGGGAGACAAGATGGATCAACATTTTCCTAGGCGCGTATAATCGAGAGCTTGTATGTAATAAAGCTTTCAATGGCCTAGACTATATAGAAACTGACAGTAGAGAAACGTTGCTGTGTGAAACTAGGAAGAAGAGTGAGAGGAGGAGGAGGAGGAGGAGGAGAAGGAAGGGTGATAATAATTGTTCCCAGAAGTCCCATAAACGCGTTCGCGTACGCGAGATATCGTAGTACGGAGGGGTGGGTGGGGAAACCTTGCCAAGGGTTGGTTGGACCTTTCCTTCTGAACATGTTCCATCCGATATCTATCTCTTTCACACCTACTACTACTACTATTACTAGTATTACTACGATACACGTCAAGTTACTTTTCTCTAATAACATCTCTAATACGCGATGAGCCAATTTTCTTTCCTGACAGGATTTGCTGTTGTTACCTAGGGTAAGTCTTTTTGACGTTGGAAAACACGCCTTGACGTTTCTTCCTACGATTAAAGTTTATTTTCTGTAAAACCAACCCCCTGTACGTACGTACGTTGATTTTTCTTTTTTAAAGTTCAACGCGTTTTATTGCAATATATTTTAAACACACGCGTCTTAATCATTTTTGTATTTTTTATTTGGATTGTCAGAAAAATTCGTGGCAGATTTTAATCATAGATTGAAGAAATTAATTGCAATTTTTTCTCTCGGTATATTATTATTAAATTATATAAATGCATGTGTGTTCTCTGTTTCAAAACTCCTTTCACTATTTTTCGGGTAACTGGAAAAATTCTGTCCTTCCAGAATGTCTCAAGTTTTTGCTTTTATTTTAAATTTTTAATATATTCAAAACTCGTCTCTTATATGCCATAGAAAATTGGCATTTGAACTTTTCGGACAATCAAATATTTTTCATTATCTTTTTTTTGGTCATTTTAACCCCGACAATGTTAGATTTGACAAATTTCTTCCGCGGGGGTATAAATCTAATGGAGTTAAGCGTCACCTCGAGAATAAAAGATGAAAAAGTGTGAGAGAAAGAGAAAGAATAGTAGAAGAAGAAGAAGTAGTAGAAGAAGAAAAATAAGAGAAAACAAAAGGGAAGTTTCTCACGCGACTGCGACTGTCGGATTGTCTGAACGCAAAAGTGATTAATGGAGAACACTATGAATAGCTAGCTAGCTAACTTATAGGTGTTGGTAACGATTCAAATGCCCACGAGAGGTGAATTCGCAAAAGTACGCTTGCCTTGCAACACTTGTTTGCAACGTTTGCTTGCGTTAGGAAGAATCAAGGCAACTTCAAAATCAACTGCGGTTATTAATTACATGTTAAAGGGCAACCGATGCCATGCCGTCAACGTTGTTGAACGACGAAAGAACTTAAAGGGGGTTGGTTGGTGGGTTGTTGTTCGTTGATCGATGTGAATATATATATGTATCCTAGGAAAATTTGACCACCATGTGTTAATCGTTTAACGGAAAACAATTAGGCAAATCATCTGCTGTACGTTGCCTAAATTTGAGTGAACATTTTCGAGATGTTCAGTTAAGTTTGATTATTATTTATATTTATTTATTTGATCAAACAATAGACTAAATGAAATTCTTTAGATTTGATTCGGATCGTTAGATGAATTATATGAATTTATTATTTGCTTATTTGGTAATATAAAAAAAAGAATATATAAAATGATTAATAAATGTGTCACAGGGAAGTTGGACAAGTTAAAAA